TCCCTGGAGGGTCTTGCCGACTCGGCTGTGAGTCTGCCCGGCGGTCTCTAAGGCAGCCGAGAGGCAAAACTTGGTGGTGTCAGGGTCCCAGGAGATTGCATCGGGGTACCGGGGCTCTGCTTGGCTGGGGGTCGTGTCACAGGCCAGCCACAGAGAGGAGCTGGGCAGGGACGCCTCCATCACAGCATCACTGCAGGCCTTACCCTCTTCCCCAAAGATGGTCTGCAAAGGCGTTCACCCCACAGCTGCCCCTCTGCGCTACAGGCTTGTGCCAAGGCCGCTGCAGCTGCTGTACCAGGCAGGGGAAGGCCCCAGAACCCAGTCCAGAATGGGTGCCATGAGCTCCAGCATGCGCTGATGCAGAAACTGGACCTTGAAGTCTGAAAAGGGGTTTGGGGGTTTGGTTATAAAAATAGTGCCCTATGGGATTCTTATAAAGGTGGAGTGAGAGGGAGAAATGGTGAGCACGCATGCGTTCCAATCATCTGGTTCATCCCAGATGCCCACACACCAGGGCTGGGCCAGGCCGAAGCCAGGAACAGGGAGCTCCGGCCAGGTGTCCCAGACGTCCGGGTGCAGGGCCGTGCTCTGCTGCCCACCCAGGTGTGTTAACAAGGGGGCTGGGTCGGAAGCAGAGCAGGCAGGACTCCAGCTGGCACTCCTGTGTGGGCTGCTGACACTGTGAACACAGCTCCACCCTCGTGCCCGACAGCTTGCCTGCCGCGGAGTACTTCGAAGCAGCAGTGAGTCCCCAGGCAACCTGTAACAAGGGTCATCACAGGACTTTCTAAACTTTGTCATGAAAACCTTTGTGTCTTTCACTTTTACTGTGGAAAATGTGAGGCACGCTGATATAGAGGTGAGAGCCTGAGCCCAGGGCCCCGCCTGAGGCCAGCAATCAAGGTGTGTCACTCCAGGCCGACCCGCGGCTTCCCGAAGTTCAGTCTTGAGGATTGCCGACACAGGGGTTCATTCTCAAATGCCAGCCATCAAATAAAGATGGCACGTGGCCCCTTCCTATGGCTAGGGCAACGTGCGGGGTGCCGCCCGTCGCTCTCTCAGCCCCAGGTCCGCGTGTGCCCAGGGCCACAGGCGTCTCCCAGCCTGCCTCATTCAGCCTCCTCGCTCACAGTGCCCTCTGCCTCTTCTGGCTCCTGACTGCCCACCCACTGGGCACTCATGGGGACACAGCTCTCTTGGGCCTCTGGACGGCCACTGTTCCTCTTGGGACTCGCAGTCCGTCAGAGCAATGTTGGATGATCTTGGAGGCTGTGGGATTTGCCAAGGAGCCCAGGCAGCTGGGAAGACTGCCCTTCTCTATGAAGAGCTGCCTGTGGGGCCGGGCACAACTCTGACTTCAGAGCTGCTTGTGTTGGGTAACGGGGCGCCATCTGGGCCACCTGGAGCAGTGGACACACACAGGTGCGCGAGTGGGCCAGAGGGTGGCAAGCCTCTGCCCCACGGCGCCGTCCAGTGTCAGTGCGGTGAGGGAGGAGGCTGTGGTCCTTGGGGACAGAGTGGGTGGCTGGCGTTTAACTGCAGCCCCTGCTGGTCTGAGGGTGCCCGGCCCCAGCCCAGGAGGGGGTGCTGGGGCCGGCGGGTCCCCTGTGCCTGCCTGTACACAGGCAGGAAACCAGAGGTCGGCTAGCTCCCTGGCGTTGGAGCCGGTGTGGGGGCGTTCTCCCACAGCACTTCACACCTCCACGGGTGAGGGAGACACACGGATCTCACCGGAGTGACTTTTCTCACGGGAAACAGCCGCCCGAGTTCACAGTGATTCAGACAGGGAGGCCTCTTCCTGCTGGGCGCCCACGCAACCCTCTGTGCCGGAGGAAGTCACAGTGGCTCACAAGAGGTGCCCACCCCAGGGAAGATGGTACAGCCCCCAGCACCGTGCTTCCCGCGGAGTCAGGGCCCTCGGGCTGCTCGTGCCGGCGGCCCCTCTCTGACCAGGACTCAGGGAAGGGATGTGCTTGAAGTCACAGGCCGGTGTCCCAGCCCCCGGGTGGCCTGTCCTGGAAGTGGTCTGACTCCCACGGTGTGTTTGGGGAGACACAGCAAGGAAGTGGGGCCACGTGGAGGCTGCAGCGTTCTGACATTTCCCCGCTGGGGCCCAGGAGTGGCTGCGCGCCGTGGTTGTTATTCTCGGCATGTGTAGTTTCCAGCCACGCTCTGTGTATGGGAGCAAGCGGCAGTGCAGGAAGCCGGCCGTGGGTGTGTGGCGTTGGCAAATATTAACAGCTCCCCGGGGCTCAGGCTGGGGGCAGGGTCGGCCTGTGCTGGAGCTGGAAGTGGCCACCTGGGGCTGGTCCTCAAGTCAGCACAGCCTCGGTGTTTTGGGGAACAGTGCCTGAGTCATGTACTTCTGGGACCCACACTCTGTTTACAAGGGGCAGCCTTTCCTGTAGGTCATGGTGGACGCCGGAGAGTGGCGCTCCTGGCCCTAGAAGGACACAGCATGTCTGTGCCAGCTTCCAGGGCCCCATTAACGCTTCGGGGACTGCAGCTGTGTCTGAGGCCCTGCTTGCTTGCTCTGAGCCCATTTTTACTGAAGGTGCATATGACCAATCCTGGCATGGCTTGGAGACCAGCCATGGCCTCCTGCCCAGCCAGCTGTGCTAGACAGGGTAACCACAGTCAGAGTGGCTTCACGCATTCCTCCAGCTGTGTTTGTCGTCTTTGTGATTCCACATTTGCTCTGCATCCACTAGTCCCGTAAACGGCTGCACACGGCACTGCTAAGACTGCATGACTGGGGCAAGTGTGTGCAAGGAGGCCGCGGGTGCTGTGCCCGTGCCTGTGGAAGCAGCCCGCTCTCCTCTCCCAGCCCCTCTCTCAGTAGATTCTCTCGGTAGCTCTCCCTCGCAGTAGGTCTCTATCAGATCTGTCTCCTGCATTGTCCTGCGAGGTGAGAGCCCTGTTCTTTCGATCGGGCAGCTTTCTGCTGTGCAGACCTGTGAGGCAGCAGGGTGTGGGAGGGGCCCGGGCTGCCCGAGGCTCTGACAGCATCCACCTGTCTGGGAGCCTTGCAGCACCGGCATCGAGGTTAGGCTCCCAGGTTAGCATCCCAGCCTGCAGACCCACCGTGTGGGCCTGCACTGAGCCCACACCGACGGCCCCAGGCGCTGCTCCAGCAGGCCTCTGCGTGGTTGTTTTGCTGTGCCCAGCAGTGTTGCCGGAAGCTGGGCCGGCTATGCTGATAACCTCGCGTAGGAAGCAACTCTGACAGCCGCAGCCCTGAAACTGCTGCTGCGTGGCCATGGCCACTTCCTCTGCCAGGAAAGTGTCACCTGACAGCTGTTTAATGTGGCTCTGAAACTGCGGGGGCTCCGCATGGGTCACAGGGCCCACCCTGACCTCTGCGGGCCATGGGCCGACCACACGACTCTTTGTCCTGGTCAGGCGGATGCGCAGGTGCCCCTGTGTGGAGCTGACCAGGGCCACACTCCCATGGAACACAAGGCACTGCCTATCCCAGTGCCCACAGCGGGGCCTGGGAGCAGCCTCCACCCACACTCCAACCAGACGCAGTAATCTGCTCTGTGTGGTGGCCGCAGACCCAGACTCTCCTCCTGCCCCTGCCAGGGCTAGCACTGGGGGCATGCAGGGAGCTTCCAGAGGCTGTAGGTATCAGTGAGGCCTGGCCAGCTGGCACCCTCCAGCTCAGGGGCAGTGGGTGACAGATGGCTTGCAGTGAAGCCCTGGGGCCAGGGGACTAGGCTGCTGTCCCGCAGGCTGGGAGGCTCGTTGCCCCACCCCCTCCTCTGCTTGTTCTGCGGTTCCTGGCGCCATTCGGAGGGCAGACTCGTACACACAGGACGGGTGGGCACTGCGTCCCTGTGTCTACGTGTCCTTTCAAAGTACATCTTAGTGTTGTGTACTTTTTAGAATGTGTTTATCTGAAATTCAGGTGAATCCTTGGGCTGAGTTTTTTAAAAGGCAAAAAAAGAATCTTCTATCTGTAGGTCATGCCCCAGCCAGGGCTGGGCCAGCAGAAGCCAGGAGCTGCAGCTGGGTCAACCACACTGTGGCCAGGGGTGCAGCAGCTGGGCGGGCACTGCTGCCTCCCCAGGCATGCTTACCGGGAGTTTAGTGGGAGGCAGAGGGGCTGGGCAGCCTGCCACAGCTCTGGGGTGGGATGCTTTTGCCGCGACGCTGGCCCCGGCCCTTTATTCTAGCCCTGCTCGCTTGCATGTTGCTGTGGGTGGCAGTTTGGGCACAGGCATAGCAGGCCAGGCCTGGAGAAGCTGCTGCTGACCCAGCAGAAAGATAAGTGGGGAGTGGCTACCACATGCCAGGGTACCCAGGAGGCAGTGCTGAGTTCCAGAAGAGGAGTTCTGGGGCTGCTGAGAAATAAGAGCTCTCAGCCCCTTGGGGGTCTCGAGCGTGGGTACCTGCTGGTGTAACAGTGGGCTAAAGCCTTGCACAGCATCCACTGCCTGGGACACAGGCAGACCAAGGGGCAGTGGTCGTGGCTGCTGTAAGTGCCACCGGGAGAACCCAGCCCTCGTACAGAGGTGAGCTAAGGGGCTCCCAACCCGTGGACGCCAGGGCTGTGTGGCCTCAGGACTGCCCAGGAGTATGCTCACAGGGCTGGTGAGTTCCCACCAGGTCCGTGACCGACATCTCTCCCTTCTGCCCTTGGGTGTGCCCTGGGGTGGTGCTGAGCCAAGCTCCGGGACCTTCACCTCAGGCTCGCTGGCAGCTGCCGCTCAGAGGTACAAGCTCCCCGGTCGGTTTCTGGCCTCTCACTGCATGTGTTGGGGAGGGTGCCAGAAGCCCACAGTGAAGGGAGGGCAGTAGGCGGGGCACACTGGCGCATCTTCCACGTGGCTCGGAAGCCCAGCTGGGCTGCAGCCATGCATGGGGACGGAGCAGACTCTGGCTGTGCTGGGACCATGTGAACCTGTTAGGAAATCAGGTCGGGCCATCGTCCTGGAAGGATGGTGAGGTGGACCAGAGAGGAGCTCTTCCCTCTAACCCAGTCTGTTCTGTTCCAGCCCGTCTCTGCCGGCCCTCGACTGGCAGCTGCCGTCTCACTCGGGCCCCTACGAGCTTCGCATCGAGGTGCAGCCCAAGTCCCACCACAGAGCCCACTACGAGACGGAGGGCAGCCGGGGGGCCGTGAAGGCATCAGCAGGAGGACATCCCATTGTGCAGGTATCGCTGGTGCTTAGGGCTCTGAGGGCAGCGGCTGCCGGGTCCCCTTTTGCTGCCCACTTGGAGACAGTGGCTGCCAGGTCCCTCTGCGCCCATGCCACCTCCCATGGCCGGTCGAGTTGCAGATTTGTCTGGGCTGGGTAGGTGCAGAGGGGTAGGGCGCCCGGGAGGCCTGGACTGCAGAGGCCACCAGCAACAGGTGATACTTGTGAAGACCTGAACCCTCACCCTGACCTTGGTGGCGCTGGCTTCCTGCATGTGGTACCCTGGAAAGGCAGGGTCTTCAGGCCACTCCTGACCGGCTCAGGCCGGGAGGTGTGCAGGTGGAGCCCGTGGTGCCACTATGTGGGACCACTGTAGGGAGGGTCCCCGCCTGGAGGGGAGGCGGGCCCTCCTGGGGGTGCAGATGCCTGGCCTGTACAGCCGTCTAAAAGGAACAGAGTAGAATGTTGGTCCTGTCCGGCCAGGGAGGTGTGTGGCTGGTGGGAGGAAGCGCAGGCGTGTTCTCTGCCCTGGCCTGTCCCCTCTCCACCCTGGGACCTGGAAGTCCAGGTTGGCTTTTTGCAGGCATCGCCCCTACTGCTGTGAGTACCGTGGGCAGCATCTGCCCCTGCATGGTGGGGCACATATTTCTCAGCACACCGCTAGGGGCAAAGCCGGGTGCCCCCGCCCTGGGATTTGGGGAGCCGCTCAGCATGTCGCATGTGTGTCCCTACCCCGCTAAGGTAGATGAAAGGGTAGGGGGCTGGGGCCCACGTGGCCAGCAGCCGAGCGTTCAGCGATACCCTGCTTGGGGCGGGGACCATCGGGGCACTTGGGGCTGGTAGTCTGATGCTAATGATCACCTGTGCTCTAGTGGGCAGGGCAGGTTGACATTTTCAGTGCCTGCCTTCCCAGGTGGAAAGGCCAGCAATGCCCGCTCCTCGTGGCCGTCAGGAACTGCTCATTTGCCCGCCCATCTTGCCCTGGTTTTCACAGAGTGCAAGTTCATTCCTGCTGGGTGGGAAGGATGTTAGTGAGAGAGGCGGAGGTAGTACTCAGGGTGAGGGGGCAGCAGCCGGGGCGGGGGCTGTAATGGCGTGAGAACTGAGGGCTGTCAGGGGAGGGCACGGGAGCCCCTGGGTGCACACTGCCACCTGTCACAACACAAACCTACGGCACACCAGCCAGGTCTGTGTCTGCAGCCACACGTCAGGGCGCAGACGGCAGCACTCTGTCTACACGGGGATCGCAGGAATGCGAAACCTGGCATGTATCAGATGTGTGCCCTGGAACGTGGCGTTAACTGCGCTGGGAAGGCTGCGGGATGGGCCGGTCCCAGGCATGACATGGGCGTGGAGAGGAAAACCGTGGCCATTCTCACTGTGGACTTGTCTCCGTATCTGCCATGTGGACACGTGTGGGTGCAAGGTGTGACTAAGATCCCAGGAGGGGCTTTGCGGTCACCTCACTGGGGTGTGCACACGGGGCAGCCCCTGGAGGGCACCGTGTCCACATCTGGACACCCAGGCTCGTCGGGGACCCTCCTTGGCAGGTGGTGTGGCCTGCTTGCTGAGTCTGTAAGCAAGCGGGGACACAGCTGTGTCCACATGTGCACCGCGGTCGGGAACGGCCCACTCGGGGCTCCTGGGTTCTGGAGGCTACACCTCCTTCTTACAGCCTCTTTGTTCACCAATCAGCCCATTTACCCACAGACCTCATCCGTAGTCACCAGCCAGCTTTGCTGGGTTCCTGTGGGGCCAGCATTTCCCTGTAGACCCCCACCTCCCCAGGGATGGTGTCCTCTCCTGGGGTCTTTGTCACCCCTGGAGTACACCTGCACTCCAGCCATGCATGAACGCCCACAACAGTGCGGCTGCTCCCAGGCCCAGGTTGTCTTCAGGGCCCACAGGCAGGCAGCGTCTGCTTGTATGCTCTGAGCCAAACTCTGATGTGCCTTGCTGGCCTCCCTGTAGGCTCTTGGGCCCTCCCAGAGGACCCGGAGCCCCGTGGGGGTCTAACCTGACCTCTGACCTGAAGAATGAGAATTCAGCTCTGTTTACCACAGCACTAAAATAGCTTGCCCGATAGCATCTAGCCCATTGCATGGGGCGGGTCCACGTGAATAATTCATGACTACGGGAACATGAGCCCAGCAGCTTGCCTCATGCACTTGCCCGGTCCCCGTCTGCATGTGTGTGAGGAGGGAGATGGGTGCTGCCACCCTGGGCCTCAGCCTTGCATGGGCCAGGGCGCGGTGGTCACTCAGCACAGCTGGGGGACAGGCCCTGAGGGACTCTCCTCGGGCCACTTGGCTCCCAGATTGGCTTCGTCTGGTGAGCACGACCGGCTACTCTCCTATACTGTGAGACAGGTGGCCACTGCTGAGGACCAGGGACTGAGCCCAGCAGGGTGCTGGGACACGCCCCCACAGGCACAACAGACACCCACTGCCTCTGGGTGATGCCTCCAGGGAGACCAGCAGTCTTTCCCCATCCTCAGGCGTGGGCTCAGGGTCAGAGTGACCCAAGTGGCCAAAGGAGCATGACCCTCGGATGTCAGACCGTGGGGGTGTGACACCCACTGTCCTCCCTCAGGCACGAGCCGGGTTCCAGGAGGTGTCAGGAGCAGGTTTCCCCGGGTGTATTTGTCTCTGGGCAATGGGCCGGCACCCAGAGCCGCCCACAGCCCAGAACACAGGGCTGTGCACGGCCAACCTGCCTGGAGGGGCGCTGCCTGCAGGATTTGTCCTGGAGACCTCAACCTTCTGTCTGGGCCCCCAACCGAGGTACACACACAGGCAATTTGTGAGCTGGCCAGCAGAATGTTTGAACACAGACTCATCTTGTGGTGTGGACCTCGGTGTTAGAAGTGGCTGGGGGAGCCTGAGGCCCACGCGCTCCTGCTGCAGCCGTCCTTGGGGTGGCTAAGGGGCACGGTGACCTCCAGAAGGTCTTTCCTGGTGCACACACACAACAGCATAGTGTGGCTGGACTGACAGGTGTCGGCCTCAGCTGGGACAATAGGCCTGTCTCACTGAGTGGACTGGATTGGGTTGGGGGTGCACTATCTGGGGTTACTCCTCGGGGGTGTGCCCCTGCTCTACAGCTTCACATGGAGCCTGGTGGACACGGGTGGACGATGATGCTCCTGACACGGGCCGTGCCCCACAACCCCATGGCACAGGTTCCTGGAGGCTCTAGGTGTCAAGCAGGAGCCACCACTCTTGCCCGGGACACTGGTATGGAACAGCCAGGCTGCTTCCGGAAGGCTCTGGTGCCATCTGGAGGCAGGGCGCCGGGTTGGAGTATGCCCCAGTCCCAGAGCAGCTGAGCTGCGCCTCCCACTTGCATTTAATGTTCCCTGACAGGTCGTGACGGCCGTGGGGTCCAGGGGCTGCGTGCTCACTCATGTTCTGTGCACAGTCGGGCTTCTCAGCAGGCTTTAATTGGAAGTGCTAAATGTAGCGCTCTGTACATAGCCAGCTCCCCTCGGGGGCACGCGTGGCTCCTTCCTCTGGGGGCTCCGCGCCCCCATGGGGTCTCCAGGCAGCTCCGACAGTGCTCCACCGCCTCGGGGTGCACATGGGCAGCGGGTGAGGCCAGCATCTGACTATTCCCTGGACCACAGAGGAGCTCTGGGCTCCGTGCGGGGCCTTCCCTGCCAGTCTTAGTCTGCTTGCTGGCCCCCGAGTCTGCAGGGCAGCAGAGTGGACGCAGCCTGGGCTATGGCTAATTGGTAGTGCTGTGTATGAGGGCTGACTCCAGCTCTGAGCCCAGAACAGGCTTACACCTGCAGTCTTTCTGCCCGAGCTGGCTGTCCCTGCCAGTCCGGTCATGGCTGACTATGGTGCAGTGCCCCGGCTGGCCTCCATGGCCGGCTCCGGAGATCGGGGTCTCCTCCAGCTCCCACTAGTCCACACCCCTCAGCCACCCCTCATCACAGCGCCCTCACTAGTTGGGACAGCAGTGCCATTTTCCTGCATCCTGGAGCGGCTATGAAACTGATTTGGCCAACACCTGAGGGCAGGGCGGCTATGGCACAGGAATCTGAAGTAGCTACTGTGGGAAGGGCTGGGCTGCTGGCAGAGGGCAACGTCCCCAGCCTGCCACAGGCGCTGATCAGCAGAGCCATGAGATCAGCCCTGTCCCTTCTGGACGCTGTAGCCTGGCTTCCTTCACAACTCTCATGTGCACACACATACACACACTCCCACATACAACTGCACACAGAGCTCACACACACACACTCCCACACTGTGCACACACAGCACACACACACTCCCACACTGTGCACACACACACACTCCCACACTGTGCACACACAGCACACACACACTCCCACACTGTGCACACACATACACACACTCCCATAGAGTGCACACACACACACTCCCACACTGTGCACACACAGCACACACACACTCCCACACTGTGCACACACATACACACACTCCCATAGAGTGCACACACACACACTCCCACACAGCACACACACATACTCCCACACAGTGCACACACAGCACACACACACACTCCCACACAGTGCACACACAGCACACACACACTCTCACACAGTGCACAGACAGCACAACACACTCACACAGCACACACACACTCCCACACAGCGCACACACACTCCCACACAGTGCACACAGCACACACACACTGTCACACAGTACACACACAGCACACACACACACTCCCACACAGTGCACACACAGCACACACACTCTCACACAGTGCACACACACACTCCCACACAGTGCACACACAGCTCTCACACAGTGCACACACACACTCCCACACAGTGCACACACAGCTCTCACACACACTCTCACACAGCACACACACACACTCCCACACAGTGCACACACAGCTTGCACACACACACTCCCACACAGTGCACACACAGCACACACACACTCTCACACAGTGCACACACAGCACACACACACTCTCACACAGTGCACACACACACTCCCACACAGTGCACACACAGCACACACACACTCTCACATAGTGCACACACACACTCCCACACAGTGCACACACAGCTCTCACACACACACTCCCACACAGGCACTTCAGAGTGCTCATGAAGCGAAACTTAAATGTCAGTGTTCGGTGCAGGAAAGCTTTTGAAGCCCACAGTTTTTGTTCCACAGCAGGCTTTTCCATGAGGTCTTTGAAGACTCCTGCCCGACAAGCCCAGCCCGGGGCTCTTCATCCTTTGTCTCCTGTTTCCCCAGACCTCAGGACTGCAGGAGCATGCTCTGCCTGAAGGGCACTCCTGTCCCGGTGGGTCGAGTGCCACTTGGGTCACAGCCAGTACAGCTGTGACAGCCAGCTCCCAGCCTCCAGCCTGCCCTTGTCCATGGGAGCAAGCACAGCATCGGTCATATGGAACAACTCAGCCAAGAGAGAGAATCGGAATTGGGGGATATTCAATGTGCTGCTCAGTCTGCTTGGCCATTGGTTCACCACACATGTGCTCCAGGCACACACTCGCACGTGCACACACAACTCCTCCACAAATGCACTCCCAAACATGCACACATACTCCACAGTGTGCGCACACACATGACCAGCCTGTGAGGAGGTGGGCAGCGCACACCCACACACGTGACCCAAGTACCTGTGGGGAAGGCACCACGGAGGAGCTTTCCTCCGCCGGCCTGCACATCCCCGAGGAGCCGGAGTGAGCTGCTTGTGCTCCTTGTGGGACACACGCTCCTCACACAGACCCTGGGAGGGACCACCCGCATGCAGCAGGGGCCAGGGAAGCCTGGTGGGTGCCCTGCTCTGAAACCCTCGGGTCGGGGGCTCTGCCCTCGGTCCTGTGACCCAGTAGGCACTGAGCTGGGCCTCAGTGTCCCCTCAGACTGCCCACTGCTCGTGGGTTTCTGGTTTCTGCACTGAGTACTTAGTACGATGTGCACAGTTCAGGCTGTCCTGCCTTAGCACTTGGCCTGCATTTCCTTGGCCATAAGGACCGAGTCTGGTTCGTGGGGCAACACAGGGCTCGCTGATGAGAGGCAGGACTCCGGCGTTCCCTCCTACACAGGGAGGGTCCCCTCTGTGGGCAGTAGCCCAGGACCACCCCAGGCACCTTTGGCTGCTGCTTTTCTTGATGGTGCCGTGGCTGGGACTGGCTGAGGCCCCGTGGGACAGCTGACTTGGGACGTGCACATGTAGCCCGTCCTCTCTGCAGAGGTGACCCACTGCCGCTCACACACGCAGGGTTCTTGCTGTGGACGCCTCTGTATGTTCCCTGACTCGGGGGGCTCATTGGAGGCGGGTGATTAGCGCTTCCTTCGCAGGCCAGGATTCCAGCCCCGGTTGTCATCCGCGTGAGTGCTGAGATCAGCACAGCAGCTAAAAACAAACATTTCCCTGCGAGGACAGTCAGCACCAGCACCCTGGACATGGGGGCAGCAGAGGCATCTACTGTGACAGGTGACTTTAGAAGTGCTGTGGTGACAGGAGCCGTGGGCGCCACGGGCAGAATAGCTGCGCGCTGGCCGCAGGAGGTGTTCCACGGCGAGAATGTCGCAGTTTAAATAATAGATGTTTACCTCCCAGGTGAGACCTTAAATATCCTCATTTTCGTGCACGCAGCCTGCTTTTTAAAGGACCGAGTCACACTGCCATGCAGTGTTCCACACACTGTCAGACAGCTAGCATGATTGGGGGGACCTCAGGAAGGTCCTTGTCACCTGGCCCTGGCGGAGCTGCTGGCTACCACAGGCTGCCCACTGCTTCCTGGAGAGGCTCCTGATGTGTTTCTGTGCTGAATTTCAGTCAAGGGGATCCTTGCAGGGTGCAGGGTACGGGCCGCCTCTGCCTGCGTCTTGCATTTCCTCATGCAAAGATGCTCATGCAGCCTGGAATGTGGGCTTCCTGGGGAGTTAAGACAGTGACCCACACAGGCTCCCTCAGGCTGGTACACAGGCTCCCTGAGGCTGGTAAACGGGGCTCCCCGAGGCTGGTACACAGGCTCCCCGAGGCTGGTAAATGGGGCTCCCCGAGGGGCTCCCTCAGGCTGGAAGACAGGACTCTCAAGGCTGGTACACAGGCTCCCTCAGGCTGGTACACAGGCTCCCTCAGGCTGGTAAACGGGGCTCCCTGAGGCTGGTACATCAGGCCCTCCAGGAGTCCATGCTGTGCTCCTCCAATGCTGGCACCAAGTGGGCACTTCAGTGCTCTGACTGGGCTGAGGGCATCCCTAGTCTTTCCCTGATTTCTTGGGAACACCGGAAGGCGGGGTTGGGAGAGCTGCTGGCATCTCCATTTCCCGCAGTGCGAAGCAGCCAGCACCCCAGGATCTGTTCTCCTGTCTCGGGGCCACTGTACCTGCCCAGATGCCATGCAACACCTGGTGTCAGCAACATTCGAGTGCCTCCATCTTTGGACCAATTGAGGCCAGAAGAACCTACGAGCCTCCGTCTACTTGGCCTGCTGGAGGTCAGCTGCTGGCTGCCCTGCCCGCTGACCGCCGACAGCCTAGCCCAAGCTGGTCCTGAGCGTAAACTGGCAAATGTTGGCGACGAAACTCGGCTGGGTTGGGGTTGTGGTTGCCGGCTCAGGTACACAGGAAGCATTGCAGGAGTTGGAACAGGGCCCTCAGCCATGGCCGGCCCTCACCTCATGGGCCTCCTGAGCAGGCCAGGGGAGGACAACGCTCCTGCTGGGCCTCACTGCCTCCTGCAGACTGCCGCACCTGCCACTCCTGGTGGGTGCTGGCTCGGGGCAGATTGCACCCGGCCTGCCAGCGGGCCATGAGGCTGGTGACTGAGCGGCGGGGGGGGTGGGGGGTCGCACGCATACCTGTTTGAAATGAGTTTGCGACCCAGGGCCTCGATCTCGCTGGCCGCCTGTCTCCCCGTGAGGGACACGGAGCAGCAGCCTCGTAGAAGTGCTGTCCGGCACCCACATCAAACCCAGCAGCTGCTAATTGCGTGCAGGACTTCATGTGTCCGCTGTTGTTTCCCAAGTGGGCACGTAAGGGCGTCCAGGTCCCCTTAGAGCGGCGGGAGCCAGCGCCTCTCGGGTCCCCACAGTCACTTCCTGCCTCAGGACGCCAGTGGCCAGCTGGCCCTTGGTGAACAGGAGGAGGCAGAGGCTGAGCCACGAAGGCTTCTCGGCCTCTGCAGACAGAGCGGTCAGGCGGCCTGCTGGGAACCCGCCAGGTGCCAGGGACTCAGCCCCTGCCGGGTGCCGCACCTCTGCCCCAAGTCACAGACAGAGCTCTTGTATTTCCCATGGGCAGATAGACCTGGTGTCCTCGGCCTTGAAGGGCAACACCCGTCACTGTGGCTGGCACTGTGATGTGACTTGCTCGTCGCCACATTGCTAGGGATGGTGTCTGTCGCCACGGGCCTGGGCCTTCTGCTGAGTATTCGTTTTTTTTTTTTTAAGATTTATTTTTATTATGTTTTATTGGAAAGGCGGATATACAGAGAGGAGAGACAGAGAGGAAGATCTTCCATCCAATGATTCACTCCCCAAGTGAGCGCAACGGCCGATGCTATGTCGATCCGAAGCCAGGAGCCTCTTCTGGGTCTCCCATGCGGGTGCAGGGTCCCAAAGCTTTGAGCCGTCCTTGACTGCTTTCCCGGGCCACAGGCAGGGAGCTGGAAGGGAAGCGGGGCTGCCGGGATTAGAACCGGCGCCCATATGGGATCCCGGGCGTGCAAGGCGACGACTTAACCACTTGCACCACCGCGCCGGTCCCGAGTATTCGTTTTTGATTCAGCAGCTGGGAGTAGGCTTGCTTAGCTGGGTGTAACTGCAGTGAGGGTGTGGGGTCCGCACTGTGGGACCCTCAAGGGAGTGAGCACAGGTCTTGTGGCACACACAGCCTGGGTCTGTGTGCACGTGCCCGGCCTCCTGCCTGGCCAGGGGGCATTTGGTTCTTCCCAAGCCTTCATCCAGGCATAGCCCATGTGTGTGTGGGTTCTGGTGGTAGAGGGGCATGCTGGGCGCACCTGTGGGTGAGTGTGACCTAGCGCTGGGGAACTTTCCAACAATGAGGCATTTTCCAAGCTTACTTTCCAAAAAGTGGGTTCTGCCGGGGAGGAAAGTGTGGGGCAGGGGGCTGGGGCCGAGCTTGTCTCCATGTCAATTGGCGTCTCGTAAAAGTCCAAGCCCAGCACTGCACGTGCACGGGCTCAGGGGCCGCCTCTGTTTTCTCGCCAGCTGCACGGCTACTTGGAGAATGAGCCGCTCACGCTGCAGCTGTTCATCGGGACGGCGGACGACCGCCTGCTGCGGCCCCATGCCTTCTACCAGGTCCACCGCATTACAGGCAAGACCGTGTCCACCAGCAGCCAGGAGGCCGTCCACTCTAACACCAAAGTCCTGGAGATCCCGCTGCTGCCGGAGAACAGCATGCGTGCCGTGTAAGCAAGGGCAGGTGGGCTCGTGACTCTGCTGTCTGCAGCCCAACTTGGGGGTCAGGGAGCCCCAAGACCAGCACTGGATAAACCAGCGATGTCAGGGGTGACATCAGCGATGAATGCCCAGCTCCCAGACACAACACCTGTTTGTTTCTGAATTCAACAGTGTGATCGGCATGGTTAAAATGTGGGCACAGAGCAGGTTGGTTGTCTGGATGCCATTCTCGGCGTTACTGACACTGCCGACCTGTGTGACCGTGGCTGACCTCTTCCACTGTGATGTCTGACGGTGTGGCCAACCCCAGAGTCCCTTCTGACACTGGGCAGCTGGAGACAGACCCTACATTGCATCAACACATCATACCCTAAGTGAGAATATAGCCAGAGAGAACTGTGTCCCTACGTAGGTGTGTGTGTGCGCACGCGTGCACGTGTGTGAGTGGGGTTATAACACACGGGCCGAGAGGTGAGACCACAGAGTGTGCCACCAGTGACACAGGGCATGGCGTGAGTGTGCTTGGAGCTGCCCACTGGTCTCCTAGGGACGTGACTGTTGATCAGGGCAGATGGGCGGGAGCCAGCCCTCTGCAGCAAGTGCCTTAGGCTGCTCGGGGGCGAGGGACAGCAAGAGAGGAGGCACGTGGAAGCCACGTCATGTGGGACTGTGTGGGGTTACCACAAGTTATCGGTAACTTCTGAGCCAGCCAAGTCTCAAGCAAAGGGACAGCATCTTCCTGTGTTGGCTTTGGGAGCCTGGGGTCCTTGCCCAGCCCTCGGCTGCCTCAAGAGCCAGGCGGGATCAAGGCTGGGGGACTCAGCCATGTCTTCTGCCCCCACCTTTCATGGCCTGCTTTTCCGGAGGCCGGTTCTGGGTGAACCTGAAGTTACTAAGTTAGACTAAGTTAAGTGAAACTCTAGAAGAAAAGTGGGGATGTTCCGCTGAGTAATGGAAATCCTGACAACCTCTTTCCGTGCGCTGGGCTTTCCTGGGGCCACTGCAGGCAATGGGGGTGGGAGTTCTGGCTGCCCCTCCCCCCAGCTGCTCTGTGGCGTGCCCTGGGCCAGCAGGCCGAAGGTCAGACAGACCCGCAAGAGGCCAGAGGTGGAGCCACATTGGCTCCAGGTGGCTGCTGCGTGGAGAGCCCAGCTCTGGCAGCTTTGCCCATGCATGGGCTTTTCCCGTGGAGCTGGGCCTGGGGTGAGGGCAGGACCTCACAGCAGTTGTGCTCTGGTTGGGCAGCATCGACTGTGCCGGGATCTTGAAGCTGCGGAATTCCGACATCGAGCTGCGGAAGGGAGAGACGGACATTGGCAGGAAGAACACCAGGGTGAGGCTGGTGTTCCGCGTCCACGTCCCACAGCCCAGCGGCCGGACGCTGTCCCTGCAGGTCGCCTCGAACCCCATTGAGTGTTGTAAGTACACGGGGTGGGGCTGCCGGGAGGTGGGCTGCCGGGAGGTGAGCAGCTGGGAGCAGCTTTCAGTGGTGCTACATGAGTGACCAACCTGCCCAGGGCAGCCGGGAAAGGCCGGGAGGCTATGTGGATGTGTTTGCAGCTGCAAGGTGCTGCATGGCACAAGTGCAAACTGCACCAGCCTCCCCTGGTGGCTGAGGTGCTGCTCCTCCAGTTAGCATGTGGGCCACCAGGTGAGACCCAGGCTGCCAACACCTTGCCTGTGGTCCAGTGCCTTCCCCTGTGGGACAAACCTGTCCTCTGAGCAGGGCTGGGGTAGGGCCTGGCACCCTCCTCTAAGCACTTGGCACCTCGGTGAGTCAGGCACAGCCAGGGTGCCAGCCCACCAGAAGGATGTGCAGACAGCCGCATTGGGACCCTCTGCCCTCAAAGGCCCACTGCTTGTTGGGCTGCTGTCCCCTTTGCCAAGGTCACCTGTGGCATGGCCTCCCACTCCAGCTCCTGCCCCCTTAGTGTTCACACAGGGTCCCTCACTCCGAGCTTGAATCTTGGCTGTGTCTCTTGGCCCCAACACGCCCTACCTGTGCCATGGAGAACATGGGCGTATCAGACCTGTGGGTTGCCTGTGTATTTGTGTGATCACTGTAACCAAAAGAGAAACCAGCTCCTTACATCAGCAGTGCTGGAGACGGTGGGGATGGGACAGCCCTTGCTCCCAGCACTCTGGAGCCCTCGGCGCCCTGGGCATGCTGGCTGGGCTCTTGGGGGGACAGGTGGCCCTGGAGGCCCTGTTCACCCTCCTCTCCTGTCTAACACAGCCCAGCGGTCAGCGCAGGAGCTGCCCCTGGTGGAGAAGCAGAGCCTGGACAGCTACCCAGTCATCGGTGGGAAGAAGATGGTCCTGTCTGGCCACAATTTTCTGCAGGACTCCAAAGTCATCTTCGTGGAGAAAGCTCCAGGTGTGTGCTGGGAAAATGCCCAGCTGGGTCCTGGGGCGGAGCTGGTGTCCAGGTGACATGACAGGTGTCACGGTGCAGTGTGTCCAGGTGACATGACAGGTGTCATGGTGCAGGTATGTGCTGGGAAAATGCCCAGCTGGGTCCTGGGGCGGAGCTGGTGTCCAGGTGACATGACAGGTGTCACGGTGCAGTGTGTCCAGGTGACATGACAGGTGTCATGGTGCGGGTATGTGCTGGGAAAATGCCCAGCTGGGCCCTGGGGCGGAGCTGGTGTCCAGGTGACATGACAGGTGTCACGGTGCAGTGTGTCCAGGTGACATGACAGGTGTCATGGTGCGGGTATGTGCTGGGAAAATGCCCAGCTGGGCCCTGGGGCGGAGCTGGTGTCCAGGTGACATGACAGGTGTCACGGTGCAGTGTGTCCAGGTGACATGACAGGTGTCATGGTGCGGGTATGTGCTGGGAAAATGCCCAGCTGGGCCCTGGGGCGGAGCTGGTGTCCAGGTGACATGACAGGTGTCACGGTGCAGTGATGCCATGTGTTGGTCACGGGGTGGCTCTGCCCGAGTTTGTGTCTCATGTGGGTGACACCATGTGTCAATTTGTGCACATCTCATGGTGGCAGGTGCTCCATGCAGGTCATGGTGGTGGCTGTGCCAGCCCCACCCTTGCACCTCTTTTGCTGGACGGAGGAAGCCAGAGTCCCTTTGTGAAGCTACCTGGCTGTCCTCACTCCTCTGCGCCTCAGTGCTTAGGGCACTTTCTCTAACATGTATCTTTGGGATGCCTGGATGGGTCCAGGTGGGACCTGCTTGAGCCTGCTGACTTGTGATCCAGGTCTGGGAGCCCCTGGTGTAGGGTGCCCTGCCAAGGCCATCCTCCCAGAGAGGTATGGTATATGCAGCCCCTCTTGCAGCCCCTCTGCTCCTCGCCTGTGCTCCTAGTCCATTCTTGGTGCCTGGGCCCACTGCTGCTGTTTTCAGTACAGCTGCTTTGAGGAAGGGCTGAGACCTTCCTGCAGCAGGTGGGGCACTGTTGTGAGTCTGAGGGGAGGGGCTAGAGCATCCTAAGCTGTTATCTCCAGGGGCCATCCTGTCTATGGGTCTGGCCACATATGAGTGAGTGCAGAGCCCTGACCCAGCTATGCGCCTGGGTCCCTCCCTGCGGACCCTGGCCCCGGACATGGCGGGGGCTGAGTGGGTGGAGCAGGACTCAGCCAGCCAGAACTCACAGCTCTGCGTCGGGGTAGGGGAGGCTGCTCTCAGGCTCCTGGCAGGCGCCATTTCTGTGTGGACACAGGACAGGCAGAGCCGGCTCAGCACTGGAGTGGGGAACAATTTTTCTTGCTGGCACCTCCCAGTTGGGGTTGTCCTGGAGACGGCAGCCTGACACTGGTTGTAATCACTGCCGTAGCAGCCACCAGCCTAGATAATGGGCCTTGATTTTGTGCTTTGTGCCGGACACTTGAGTACCTAAACTGCAGCAGCTCGGCCCGCCTTCAGTCACGCCCGTTCTGAGCTGTGGAGAAAGCTCACGCAGGGCCTGCGACATTAAGGGCTGTTCATGCCCTTCCCCACGGAAGACACCTTGAGCAGGCATGGGGTCCAGGGCGACGCCAGGCAGGCCGCACTGCACTCTCCCAGTGGGGTGTCTGTGGCCAGAACTGCCGGGCTATGGCAACCGCACAGCCCTCCTGGCCACCCGCCAGCCTGTGTTGCCAGCGCCTCTTCCCATATGCCCTGGAAGACCAGGTCCTTGGCCGTGTCCAGAACCAGCTTGGCTCTTGTGGTGAGTGCTGAGTAGACGCCCCGTGGGCAGCAGGCACAGGAGCTCCAGCCGTGCTTGTCCGTGTGCTGTCGGCAGCCGGCACAGGAAGGCCTGAAGAGGGACCAGGATGCGCACGCTTTCCTTGCATCCCGTTGGCCTCTTGGGTGGAATCCGTCGGCCCAGAGATGCCCTCCCAGTGCAGCCGGGCCCCTCATCTGGCGCCCAGCTCTTGTTGGTGACGAGCTGTTCCTTGTTCTGCTTTTTGTGGTGTGGGGAAGCCACTAAACTCGACTTACCTCGAGAACACAGCTGCCCTCCTCCCTACTGATAGGTTCTTCCAGTCCATTGCAAGTTCTGGTTTGTAAACTGCTACCTGAGGTGGACCCCAGCATGGTTGCCAGGGCTGTCCAGGGACTGTGCTGTCACTGCTGACCCTCCAGCCTGTTGCGGACCCTGCCGGGCTTGGCACCCTCGGTTCGGTGGATCCGTCTCCACCGATCACCTGCCATGTGTGGCACGTGAATCCCTGCACCTGCCTGGTGTACAGGCAGTGCGTGAGCTGTGGGCTGTCTAGTCTCCAAGATGGCCAGGAGAAGGGAAGGCACCGGCCTCCCATCCCCAGCCTCTACGCTGCTCTGGGGGTGCAGGAAGGAAGAGGCAGAGCGCAGCCCTCACTCACACTGAGCCCCACAGGCTGGCTGGAACCTCTGTTCCTGCCTGGCCTGGCCGGTGGCTTCTCCCTCTCGGGCCTACCTCCTGCTGAGGTCCCTTCAGCAAGGCTGTCTGATATCCACTGGGCAGCCAGAGCCCTCGGCATGTGGACAAGGAGACCCCATGTCCTTCTCTGTCTCAGCCCAGACTGAGGGAAGTGTCCCCTCTTGTCCCCTCTGCCGCACGGAGGCCCGGCCCAGGTAGATCTCTAAGGCCAGGTTCTGGCAGCCAAGGGCAGAGCAAGGTCACCTCCTGCAATGCCTCCCTTGGAGAGCTCAGACCGAAACCCAACCGAGGCTGCACTCCGCCCCGCCCCCGCCAGGCTGGAGACAGCACCGTCTGCTCTGGGCATAGGTGGGGGAGACCACAGGCAGAAGGCCGGGATAGAGGCAAGGACCACACGCTGCATGCTCACCGTGTGGACACAGCCAGCTCTGAAAGTTCATCATGCAGCGATCTTGTTATTTATTGGAAGTCAGACCACTCCCCAAACGCTGTTACAAGCAGGGCTGGGCCAGGTGAAAGCCAGGAGCTCAGTCCAAGTGTTGATGCGGGTGTCAGCTTCTGCTGTCTCCCAGGTACACACAGACAGGAAGTGGGCTGGGATTCGAACCTGGCATCCTAACCACTGCTGCAGGCATCTGATGAATACCCTGTCCGTGGGCAGGCTCCCAAGAGCCGGCAGAGTGGCCGCATGGGGATGGGATAGCAAGTCTGTCTACTCCTCTTCATGGGGCCTCTGCCCACAGCCCCTCCGTGGGCACTGTCCCCTCAGCCTGCCAGCAGCCCAGGGTCTGCTCGTCCTATGTGAGCAGGTTCCAGGCAGCTGCCCCACGTGAGACGCTTTGGACCCGCCAACGGGTACAGAGTGTGTATGTGAGTGCACAGGCTATGTGATGTGCAGGAGTGCGGTGTGACTTGGACCTGCATGTGCCGGGGGTAGGCGTGCGGCCGGGCGGGCGCCTGCTGCGCCTTCCCACAGGGCTGGCAGGGACTGGTGCCTGCTGTCTAGCTGGGGAGCTCTCACATTCCCTGAGACCTACCCACTGCAGGGGCAGGTGGCCAGAGCGGGTCGTGTGTCGTCTGCTCACGTGGTGCACACGCAGTGAGCTCCTCAGCAGCCCAGCAGTCACGTGCTGCCTCAGGGGGTTCTGGGAGCCTCGTGGGTGTGTGCTCTCGTCAGCCCAGCAGGTGTCAAGGCTGTGGGCATGGGGACATTCAGCAGCCTGAGACCACGTCGTGGCGTCTAGGAAGATCCTCGTTCCCTGTTCCTGGCAGTAGGCAGAGAGGACAGATTCGGCAGGGCAGCACTCGTCCCCGTTCGTCATGGAATAAAAATACTGCAGTGCTGAGCGAGTCAGGCGGGGCTCGGGCCGGCACCGTGAGGCTGTGTTACATGGCTGAGTGGGGCTGGATGTTGTGTCCCTCACTCGGAAGCAGACAGTGTGGGCCAAAGGCTTTGTTCTCAGCGGCCCCTGAATGCAGGGCCCTCACACATCTCAGGGAATCTCAGAGCAGGAAAAGGAACACAGCCCTTCAGCTGTGGTGGAGCCCGTCCCACAGGACCCTATGGAAGCCAGGGTCACTGCTGGCCTGGGCGCCCAGTGTCACCACTGTGGCCCTGGGAGCTCTTCCCTGTATGGATAGACCTATGGGGGAGTGGCCAGGGTGTGGCAGGGCTCACCAGGGCTGGACAGGAGGTGGCTGAGCCTCTGTGGTGGTCGGGGGAAGTGGTCACTGTGGGACCTCGCCCACATCACAGCGGCTCTCATGATGGCCGTAGTCATGATGGCCGTAGCACTGCAATCTGCACATAGGGGAGCAGGCCTGCACAGCCCCTCCCCACCCCCAGCCCACATGTCAGGCCCGCACAGCCCCTCCCCACCCCCAGCCCACATGTCAGGCCCGCATAGCTCCTCCTCCCCACCCCCCAGCCCACATGTCAGGCCTGCACAGCCCCTCCTCCCCACCCCCCAGCCCACATGTCAGGCCCGCACAGCCCCTCCTCCCCACACCCCAGTCCATGTGTCAGGAGCCAGAAGACTCCCAGCCATGTGGTCACCACGGGCCCTCCCTCCTGACAGACACGCACCCATCGGTAGCCCTCCAGTCCCACTGCCCCATCTTCAGAGCCAGTCCTCTTGTCCACTCAGTGGCCTTGCCCTGGCTCACCTGGGAGCAGGGGTGCCCGTGTGTGGCTGATTGCATTTCGTTTGTCCATGATGAGCTGATGGGCACAAGCTGGTTCTTCCCCTAGTGGTGCTCATGTGCCCAGCTGGACTCACATGATGAGTGGGAATGTCTGGGAGGGAGCTGCCATGCTGTGGTGTCTATGTCTCTCGTGGTGCTTCCAAGGAGGGAAGCTGCTGGCTCATGTGCCTCATCCCAAGAGCCCAGCATGGGGTCCTGCGCGATGGCAAGGCTGCGGCAGGGCAGCACTGTGTGGGCAGTCAGGAAGGAGCAGGGTGGCTCGCTGTTCTTGCTGGGGCTGGGAGGCCCTGTGCATCTTAGATTGCTCCTGGCTGGTATGCTGCAAGTCTTCCTGGCTGCCCTGGCCCAGCGGCGAGGTGGCTGTCCTCCTTGATGGCTGCCGTGTCCAGCTTTGGATCGCCTGAGGGCTGCTGGCCCTGGCCTGTATCTGTGTCCCCCACAGTGGCCAGCTTCCCTTCTGCCCTAGTATGACTCTGCAGCCCTGTTGGCTGCCGTGCTGACCCAGGGACCCGCAGAGCTGGCTGTGGGCACCGAGGAGGAGGCTGGCAGGAGGATAGGAGGCGGGCTTAGGAGAGCTGGCGCTGGGAGCAGCTCCTGCTGCTTCCTGCTCGGAAACAATGTGTCAGGCCGCTCAGCTCGGGGGGCGTGGCGGGGAAGCCTTCCCGATGACTCACACTCCAGGGAATCCCCTAATGGTTTGGAACATTCTTGCTTCTGGACAGAGAACGGGAGTAGGAGCCGCTGATAAGGCCGGAGCACAAAGGGCCCTTCAGTGCTGACCGCTCCCTGCTGCTGGAGGCCACCGGGCTGCACAGGGCTTTGCAGGAGAGCAAGGCCTTGGCCTTCCCACTGCTGCTCCCTGGGACGGCTCATCTTGAGAAAGGGGTGCCTTGCGATTCCCTGAAACTCCCCTTGGAGCAGCCCTGGGGAAGGCCAGGACCAGCGTCCAGCAGGTACTGCTTGCTGCAGGCTGTTGAGGGGCTCTGTGTGGTCACTCCTGCCTCTTCCTTGTACCTCCCAAGATGATTGGCCATGAGTTGAGGTTTACGGCTGCCATGGGCTCGCTGAGAGATGGAGCGCTGGCCCCACGTGCGGGTCTGTCAGTGGAGCTTTGTTGGGTGATGGGGACCTGGGAGCTGTGCACCTGAGTGCCTGTGGCTGTCCCTCCCTGACCACACCTGGGTGTGTGGCACCCTCTGTGTGTGGCAGACGCCGTCACAGGGCGTCGCCCACTGTGACCTCCAGCTGGGTGGGGCCCAGGCAGGCAGGTAATGACACCACAGCTGGCTAGGCAGGGGTGAGGCGGAGACAGCTCCTGTCCTAGGAAAACTCACAAGTTGCTTGGAAAGCAAACAGAGACTGTCCTGTGAAGGGCAGTCTGACTTGTCAACACAGGGTGGGAGGAGCCGGCGTCCTCGTGGAGCAGCCTGCCCGGGATTCCCAGGTGCGCCCCAAGCCCGAGGGTGTGCCGTAGAGTGAGGCCGAGCACGGGGAGTCACAGCCTTGTTGCCTGCCTCTTCTCCCCGGTGGGGGGACACAGCCATCCCCGAGCCAATGCTCACGTGGTCCCCAAGTGGGGTCACCTAGGAGGAGCTTGTAGGTGGGCTGGCCTGTGGCTCCCAGCCCACCCCCACCTGGTGGGGCAGGAGAGAAAGAAGCACTAAAGAACCAGCTGCCTCGTGCTGTGTGTTCCTCGGGAGGTACAAGGAAGAGACAGGGCAGGAGTGACCACACAGAGCCCCTCAACAGCCTGCAGCAAGCAGTACCTGCTGGACGCTGGTCCTGGCCTTCCCCAGGGCTGCTCCAAGGGGAGTTTCAGGGAATCGCAAGGCACCCCTTTCTCAAGATGAGCCATCCCAGGGAGCAGCAGCAGAAAGGCCAAGGCCTTGCTCTCCCACAGTGGCCTGCTGCATGGGGGAACTGGGCCACATGGGGAGGAAGAGGTCCCCCTTGGAGGCCAACAGCCCCTGTGTCTCAGTCGCTGCCTGCTGTGTGGCAGGAATGGTTTTCCTCCATGGCTCAGGCTGGAGGCCCAGGCCTTCTCACGTCAGGCCCCAAAGCTGTACCAAACAAGTCCTTGCCTGGCACATCAGGCTGGGATGGAAGGAGCCCCTGGGCCAGGGGTCTTGGGGCCCCACCAGGTGTGTGTTGCCTAGCACCACTTGGCTGGACCTGTGTGTATAGTCCCAGCCCTGAGGGTCAGCATCCTTTTGGGGAGCTCTGTGTCTGGGCCATAGAGCAGGCATGGGGGAGGTGTAAGAGTGAACCCCCACTTTCAAACTAATGCCTCTGCTGGTCCTGCCTTCCAGATGGCCACCATGTCTGGGAGATGGAAGCCAAAACCGACAGAGACCTATGCCAGCCGGTGAGTGCCCAGGGTGTCCATGAAGTGCACATGGCAGCAGCAGGATACTGGGCAGAGCTGCAGGCCCGTCCAAGCCTCCCCTGGGACAATGTGTTGCTTGCCCTTGGTTCAGCTGCTCCAGGCAGCCCACACAGAGCAGACCCCACACGGCATCTGCCCCCCAGAGACCACATGTTCCCAGCCTCCCACGCAGGCGCCCAGCACTGGCTGGGACACGCTCCACTGCCTGCTTGGCAGTGAGTTCCCGCCACCATGCCAGGACCTATGGCCCCACTGAGCAGTCGGGTGTGACCAGAGCAGCAGAGACACTGCAGCTGTGTGTATGGACACATGGCAGGTGCCATTAGGTGTGTCCCAGCCTTCTCTGTCCCGACGATGATTGCCCTGACTGGCGAGTTGTACAGACTGCTGTTAAATGTTTGCTTACCTGAAAGGCAGAGTTCTGGTGCATGCCAATGCATTCCCCCATGCCTGCAGCAACCAGGCTGCACAAGACCAGGCCAACACCCCAGAACTCAACCTGCGTCTCCTGCGGGTGGCAGGGGCCCTCGTGTGCTAGTCCTCACATGCGGCCCCCGAGGGTAGGCAATCGCAGGGAGCTGGGTCAGGTGCTGGATCTGGGCCTGGAGCAGGCACTCCATGTGGGCTGTGGGCATCTGGGTGGCATCTTCACAGCCTGGTGGCCGAGTAGCCGAGGCTAATGGCACCTCTGGTGTCTAATGGGGTGTCCTCTTAAATTATTTCACTTGGACCCCTACGGGCAGCCACTCTCTGTCTGGTGTGTTCAGAGCTCTGAGCTTCGCTGTAGCTCTGCGGGGGCATCCTGGGCTGTGCCAGGGCTCTGAGCTTCGCTGCAGCTCTGCGGGGGCATCCTGGGCCGTGTCAGGCCTCTGAGCTTCACTGCAGCTCTGTGGGGCACCCTCGGCCATGCCAGGGCTCTGAGCTTCGCTGCAGCTCTGTGGGGGCATCCTGGGCCGTGCCAGGGCTCTGAGCTTCGCTGCAGCTCTGTGGGGCACCCTCAGCCATGCCAGGGCTCTGAGCTTCCCTGAGCCTGCGTGTTTCCCAGGGCCACCTCTCAGCAGCCAGGGTAGAGGCCCCTCTTCTCCCCTTGCAGCCTGTAGCACTGGCTCGGCTGACTTCCTGCCTGCATTTGAGTGATCCCCAGGGTCGGGTGCACACGCGGGCACCAATACACCATGTTCCCTTCTCTCTCTTTAAGATTTATTTGTTTGTTTATTATTTAGTTATTTGAAAGAGCAGTGGGGAGGGCGGGAGAGATCTTCTGCTGGGTCACTCCCCAAAGGGCCTCAATAGCCAAGGCTGGGTCAGGCCAGAGCTGCGAACAGGGCAACTGGCTGGGTCTCCCATGTGCGTGCAGGGCCCATTGCCTTCCCAGGTCATCATCAGGAGCTGGATTGGGTCTGAGCCCGAGCTGTGCTAAAGGATGTTGGGTCTCGAGCAATGCAGACTTAGTTGAGACAGTGGGTTTCCTCAAAAGCTCGCTGAGACATCAAGGCTGTGCTTGTGCGCCTGACCGACTTCTGTCGTTTCCTTCCATGTCTTTCTGATCTCTTCCTTCTGCGTGTGTCTGAGGTAGTGCTTGGATCATGTGCGGCATCTGTTGAGCAGGTTAATGGGCACTGGCCTTGCCCACATCACAGCACTGTCCTCCACAGGGACCCTGTCGCACACGGTCACACCCTGGTTCAAGTCTCCAGTTCTGAGGCAGCTTCCTGCTAATGTCCTGGGAAAGGGGGCAGAAGATGGCCCAGCCCCTCTGGGTGGCCCAGGAACCTTGGGTGCCAGGGTGCGAGGGGCACTCACGGCTTCCTGTCTGTGCTCCCTAGAACTCTCTGGTGGTGGAGATTCCGCCGTTCCGCACCCAGAGGATCAGCAGCCCCGTGCAAGTCAGCTTCTACGTGTGCAACGGCAAGCGCAAGAGAAGCCAGCTGCAGCACTTCACCTACCTTCCTGCCTCTGGTAATGCCACCTTTCTAACCTTGAGTCCTGACCAGGAACCAGGCATGCGTTTGTCCTGACAGGTGCAGAGACCCGCGGAGGGGCTGTAGGCAGCCTGGCGGAGGTGCCCATGTCCCTGTAAGGAAAACTCCTGCCAGGAAGAGGGGAGCTTATGCCCACCTTGGCCTTTGTCCCATGCACGGCAAATGTGTGCATCAGGGGTCTTCGCTGTTAGTCCTGCCAGGAGCGGACAATGGCTGCACGCAGTCCAAACCAAGTTGGATGCTTTGGAGGTTGATGGAGGCAAGGCACACAGCTGTGGGTGCTCTGCACGGACATCAGGGACACAGGCACTGGGCAGCTCCATCCTCGCCTCAGGGGGTAAGGGTTGCTGGGGACACGGGCTGCTGGGCTGCACGGCCCTGTCCTGACCCCAGGGACACAGGCACTGGGCAGCCCCATCCTCGCCTCAGGGAACAAGGGCTGCTAGGCCCTGTCCTGACCCTGGGGACACGGGCTGCTGGGCTGTAGGACCTTATCCTGGCCTCAGGGGACATGGGTGCTGAGCTGCTGGGCCCTGTCCTTACCTTGGGGACACGAGCTGCAGGCCCCTGTCCTGACCCCAGTGAGTGGCTACTGGGCTTCTGGCTGCAGAGCCCCATCCTGGCCTCAGGGCACACAGGCTGCTGGCTGCAGGGTCCCATGCTGGCCTCAGAGCACACTGGCTGCTGGCTGTAGGGCCCCATCCTGGCCTCAGGGCACACTGGCTGCTGTGCTTCTCCAGGGAGGCCGGTAGAAGCAGGGCACAGAAGCGTTCTCTCTCTGTCATCCTCTACGTTGAGAACTTAGCTACATTGCCATCATCACACTGCTGTACTTTCTAACAGAATTTTAGGAGAAAGTGTATACCAGGAACCAGCTGCAAAATCAGCTTGATAGTCAGAACTGCTTGGTGAGGGTTCTATTTCCATTTGCTGTGGGCTAGTTCATGAGACCGCATGGAGTCGTAGCCATGCTGGAACTGAGTTCCCCGGACACCACTGTGGCACATGGCAGAGGCGCTATGTGGTGGGGCTATGGCAGGTTGCAGCAGGGGGCCCAGGTCCAGGCTGCAGGAAAAGTAGAGACCTTGCCACCAGGGGAGGTGGCATCCTGGTTTGAGCATGCCAAGTGTTCTGGGAACGAGGACAGAAAGGTGATGACAGTCTGGAAACAGAAAGCCTGTCCCAAGCAGCCCTGTAGTGCAACGGACTGGGGATGGCATATTTTAGGGAAAACATAGGCTTTTGAGGACAAGCTGCTGTAGGGCAGTGCTGAGGATATGCCCGGGGTTCCTCCTGCAGAGGCACCTCACAGAAACACCTGCTACTGATCACAGTGCCCCGAGTCTTGGCACAGGGCCAGAGGGGCCGTTGTGTCTTGCGTACGCCCCACCCAGGAAGGGCCAGGCCCCACACTCCGCACCACCCCTGGAGCAGGCCAGCCAGTTGTGCCTGCTGTTCCCCCAGCAAGCTGCTCTTTGATACACGACTTCAGCCATGAAGGCATAGCATCCCTGAACACTGCTGCTCAGTAACCCAGCTGGGCAGGGCTACCTGTCTCACATAGCACAGCCTCCCCACAGCACAGCCTCCTCCCACCAGCACAGCCTCCTCAAAGCACAGCCTCTTCCCCACAGCACAGCCTCCTCCTCACAGCACAGCCTCCTCCCACTAGCACAGCCTCCTCACAGCACAGCCTCCTCCCACCAGCACAGCCTCCTCACAGCACAGCCTCCTCACAGCACAGCCTCCCCACAGCACAGCCTCCTCCCACCAGCACAGCCTCCCTACAGCACAGCCTCCTTCCACCAGCACAGCCTCCTTTCCCATAGCTGGGATCCTTCTGCTGCCTCCCAGGACTCTGAACTCCTTAGGCTAAGACCCAAGACCACATGAGCTGAATCTAGTCCTACTGCAGGCCTGATGTGAGGTTGTCAGTGTGTGGTTTAAAACCAAGGGACAGCTGGAGGGAGTCTGCATTGCTTGTGCGTCCTCAGCCTGGGCCAGCTGAGGTCAATAGGTAGCGACCCCTACTTTTGCAGACACATTGAGGTTCTGGGTCCCTGGAGCAGACGTTGGTGCCAGGGCTGTACTTCCCTCAGCTGCATCTCTGTGGTCATCCTGGGCTGGGCACAGCCTCTGAGTGCCAGCATGGCTGCTCTGGTCCAGGCAGGCAGCAGGTGCTTAGCGGGAGAGCCTTGGCCATGGACAGGCAATGGGTGCTTAGCGGGAAAGCTTTGCCGTGGACAGGTGATGGGTGCTTAGCGGGAGAACCTTGGCCATGGACAGGCAATGGGTGCTTAGCGGGAGAGCTTTGGCCAGGGGCCACGGTGGCTCGCCTCCTTGGCTGTGAAGCTGAGCTGTGGGTTGCTTAGTCTGCCCCTGAGCGCTTGTCTATGTCCTGCTCTGAAAGCACAGCCAGTTGGCGGGTGCATGGGCTGCTCTCTGCAATCATCCGGGTAGGCCACGGGGACCGCAGGAATGGGAGCAGGTCCTCTGGACCATTCCTGTTTGTGCAGTGTTGCATGCAGCCAAGTGTCAGGTTTTCCTCCAGAACTGGGCGTGAGGCTGCATCTCTGCATGCCTGACACCTCCTGCGTGGCATATGAAACACTAAGAGCAGGCCCTGGAGGCCTGTGGCTGCTGTGCCTACAGCCTGGCATGTAGCCATCTCAGCCGGATGCTCAGTGGGCAGGCGTGCCACAGTGAACCCAGCCAGTGGCACCCCAGGGCTAGCTCTGTGGCTTGAGGTGTCTGATGGGCCTGGAGAGTTAGTGTGGGTCGCTTGAGCCCTGCTAAGGGAGTCCCAGGTCCAGAGGGGAGCTCCTCCCACAGCTGAGACTGCAGGAGGGTGTACGGCCTGGGCAGTGGCCACATGGAGCCCGTATGGTCTCTCTCCATGGTGTGGGCACAGGTACACAGCTGTGCAGGGGTGGGTCTCTCACACAGCCAGGCTCTCCCTTACTGATCGCTCAGCCCAGCTCTGCTCTGCACCTTTCCTGAATCCAAACATTGAAGATCCTGCGGCACCACTGCCCTCTTCTCTCGCCTGTCCAGCCAGGAAGTGAGGACTGCACTTTCTCTTTGGATTCGTTCATTTGAAAGGCAGAGACACACAGAGAGGTCTTTCGTCTGCTGATTCACTCTCCGAGTGCCCGAATGCCCACAACCTCGGGGGTTGGGGCTGGGCCAGACCTGAGCCGAGAACCGGGAGCCTCCCACGTGGATCTAGGGGCGGGAGCTTTTGAAACGCCCTTCAATGCTTTCCCAGGCGCGGGAGCAGGAAGATGGATCAGACGTGAAGTAGCCAGCACTCAAGCCAGTGCTTATGTGGGATGCCAGTGTGGCAGGCAGTAACCTGACGCACTCTGCCACAATGCCTAGCTGTTCCATTCCCTGTATGTTGGACATCACACCCTGGAGGTGACAAGGATCAACTCACCGTGAAACTCCAGTGGGTACAGGTCACTCTGGAGCCCAGTGCCAGGTCTTCCTCAAGGGAGGACTCTGGGACAAGATTTTAAGACACAGTGACCCCAAATGTTGACTGTTAACACAAGCTCTTACCACCTCACTGACAGTGGCTAGGGACATGTGCATGCACGTGACACAGTGCCACACACACGCAGGCACATGGATACACATGTGAACACATACATATGAGCACATGGTAGCACACATGTATGTGGACATGTGGGCTACTCTTGTGTCTGTTCCCTCAGACACGTGCCTGTGTACGCGCACACAGCACCTGGCAGCACACGTGGATATGCATGTGGACGTGTGGACATTATCACATGTTCACATACACTAGCGTACGTTTCCAGACAGGCACACACGCCCATGGGTGCACATGTGGCACACATGTGGATACACCAGCACGTGTAGGCACACACGAGCATGCATTTTCGCCCTGAGCCTCCCTCCTTGCCCTGCATAGTAAGACCCAGGGCAGCATGTGAAGGGGAGAGTAACCCTGAGATTGCAGGGATGAGGGCAGGGACAAGCTACAGAGCAAGTGTTGGTGCGTGTACCCTGTGACCCAAGGAGAGGCCCTGAGCCAGGATATGTCACCCACTGGGACAGCTTGATGGTGTGGACACTGGTCGCAGCACGCAGCGGCCTGAGCAGGCTGCAGGGCTCCCAGGGAGGCTGGCGCCCGCAGGAGAAGAAGGGTCGCTGTGTTCCTGGCAGCTACCTGACTAGTGTACACAGCCTGCAAGGAAGCTCCCCGTGCAGCAGTTTCTGTGCTGACACCTCTGCGCGGCTGCCTGAGGCATGGCAGCTGTCCCCTGGAGACCACGCCCACTGCCGCAGCCAGCACCCCCACAGGCAGCAAGCTCATTCATCTCTGGCGTCTGGGTCGGACCTGGCTCGCAGCCCAGTTTCAGTCTTGCAAGAGCAGGACGGCCTCCTGCTGTTGGGCATGTGGGGGGCCGGGAGCAGACAGCACGAAGCAGCACCTGGCCCAGAGTCTGTGACCCTGATGCCCCCGGAGCAGGTCCCCGAAGCTGCCGAGGGAGACAGAAGACGCTCGCTCCAGTCTCCCCACCAGTCCTGGGAAGAGACACGTCCTGGTCCTTCCCGTTGCTGCCTGCTTGTCCGTCTTTCAGAGAGCCTGCCCCGCCGTGCTGGCTCTGGCTGTGGAGGCCGAGGGCTGACTTGGGCTCTGGCAGGGACCCGGGACAATCGGGTCTTTGTTTGCCAGGGGCTACACGGGAACAGAAAGCTTTTGTTTGCCTCCCAGGACGCACCTGGTGAAGTAATCCAAGCCAAGGCTTTGGGGTCGCTCAGAGCGGGCCCCATGTGCGGTGAGCAGGATTCACCTACTGCACTGGGTTCGAGCCTGCAGCACCCAGGCCCCTACCCCACCCGTGCACCAGGCAGCTGTCCTTGCTCACTGTCCCGGAGGCTGGAACCTGCAACCAGGGCAGTACAGGCGGCTCCATGAGAATTCTCCGCCCCTGCAGGCCACGAGCAGCTGCTCTCCAGCACTGTGGCCTTAGTCAGGCTTGGTCTCCTGAAGGCCCAGTGTGGGGGTGGGAATCAGCCCAGGCTAGCCGGCAGCACAGGAAGATGCACCCGCACGCTGCCCACACGTGCCAACCATGGCTGCAGGCCCCAGTGTGCCAGGGGAAGATGCGTGATAAGCTGGGACGGCGGGGAGAGTCTGTCTCACATGTCAGATGTGGGACCAGGTGGACCAGGGCTTTTCTTCACCCATTGATCTCTGACCTGGGCCCCTCAGATGTGGGCGCCTCTGCGGGGCATAAATGGGGGCACAGAGCAGTGAGAATTTGCCAACACAGGTCTCCCACTGACACTGAGCAGCTGCTGGGACCCCGACATGCAGCCCTATACAATCCCCAGGGCGGGTCACGTGACACCAGAACGTTGGTTCTTGTGATCTTAGCCAGTGACCCTCACGCTGATGCCCTCACCCTGCCCGGAGCAGACCTGGCCACCTCCCATGACTTCCAGCTGGGAAAGCTTGGGTTTCTGCCCTGGGTCCCGGGGTGCCCCTGCTCTGTGAATGTCACCCGTGGTCACTTTGTGCAACCCCGACTGCCTACCCGAACACCAGGGGCATCAGGGGAGCCCCAAGGGCACTGCTGGGGGCTGGTGTACTGCAGAGGAGCTTGCTCTGGGGCCCATCCAGGACTGGGAGACCCCATGTGGAGCCGTGTAGCTGCAGGCATGATGGGACATAGGTGGGTCCTTGGCTCTGGGCTGCATGAAGTGCATCGCGGGGAGTGAAAGACCCACCGTGTGATTCCAGCACAGCTGCAGACGCGGTCACTGCCCTGGCTCGGTGTGAGGTACATCATGATGTCCTGGGACAGCCTTCTTGGACTCTAGGGTGAGGGGCCCAGCTGTGCCCAGCCTTGCTGTTCAGCACTCGCATGTATACGGGTCAGCTGCGTTCTGAGACACTCAGGGCGGGAGCCACAGAGCCAGGCCTTTGCATCAGACCCCTTGCATCAGACCCGGCCCTCATGTCAGGCCCTTTGTCTCAGAGCCCAGCCCTGGCCTCAGGTCCCTTGTGTCGGACCCCGGCCCTCGCATCAGATGCCTCGTGTCAGAGCCCGGCCCTCGTGTCAGGCCCCTCGCATCAGAGCCCAGGCCTCATGTTAGAACCCGGCCCTGGCATCAGGCCCTGAGTGTCAGAGTCCGGCTGTGGCGTCAGGCTAGACCTCACGTCATGCCGGCCCTTGTGTCAGGCAGGCAGTCTAGACCTGGTCAGGCACCGTGCCGGAGAGAACAGTCCAGCTGTGTCTGTGTCTCGAGGTCATAGGCTCACTTAGAACCTAGCCATGGCCGTCCACACTGACATCCAGGTGTCTGTGGCCGTTCTCAGCAGCCGTGTGCCCTCGGCAGCCAGCTAACCTTGTCTGCCATGTGTGATGCCAGCAGCTTGGTTCTGGTTGGGGTGTCTCCTCAGATGTGCCTGAGAGAACCAGTGTGTGTGTGGAGTGAGGCGGTGTGGGTGGGGAGCGCTCACCATCAACACAGCTCAGTGACAGAGTGTCTCGGCTTCCAAGTGGAGGGGCCAGGGAAGGCCTCAGCCAGGGGCCGGGCGCCGGCCGACTTCCCGTGCTGTGGGATGAATCAGTTTACCACGCCATTTCCTGTGAAGTGTGAGGACTTCCACGACGCTCCTAGCAGCGTGCTCCCTCCCCTTGCAGGGCAGTCTGGCCATGCACACAGGGAGCCAGCCTCTCCCGTCTGCCTGGCCGGGGACCCAGCCCGTTCCCATTCCCCCCCCGGGCTGTGCTCCTGCTGAGGAGAGGCTGTGGGCAGCCCAGGCCCAGCTCACTGCCTCAGGAGACATCTGAGCACAAATGGACACGCCATTCCTGATTGGATTCAGCTAGGAGTGGCTGGAGGCCACCGGGTTGTGACTCAGTGGCGCAGCCTGGCTCTGGGCGAGCAGACAGCCGCTGGAGCACAGGCGAGCCCAGGATTCAGAGCAGTGCTGCCCTTCCGTACCCGCATGGACTCACGTGTGGTCAGGAACGTCTGACAGTGGCTGCGTCAGGGACACCGGGCCAAGCGGGAGGCGAGTGAAGCAGGGGTGGGGTCCTCAGGCGTCTGCAAAGACCCAAGCTCGGCAAACTCCCCTGGGGCTGGCATTGGGCAGGAGTAGGGAGAGGCCTGGAGTCGCCGTGCAGGGCCACCTGGAGTGGCCTCTGTGCAAGCAGCGGGAAGAGGGGCCCTCCTGCCGTGCAGGGGTGTCTGCTAGGGATGGCGGCCTCACTGATCCCAGAGCGCTATCTGTGTGCGTGCCACTTCACCAGACTGCAGGGTCCCTCGGATGCATCCACTGCAATGTGCAGAGGGCTTTCACCGCATGGACACACTGGCAGTGGGGCTCCCAGGAAAGGGGCCATGGTGTCAGCAAGCTGCTGTATCAGGCGGGAGGACGGGGAGGGCACCCTCTCCAGCCTGCCTCTCAGAGCTGTTCAGTGTGTTCTGACTGAGCTCTCTTTCCTCTCCTCAGTTCCCATTATCAAAACAGAGCCAACGGATGACTACGAGCCCGCTCTGATCTGTGGACCAATGAGCCAGGGGCTGAGCCCTCTCCCGAGGCCGTGCTATAGCCAGCAGCTCGCCATGCCGCCTGACCCCGGCTCCTGCCTGCTTGCTGGCTTCCCCGCCTGTCCGCAGAGAAGCCCCCTCATCCCAGCGCCGCCCCACGCCAGCCCGAAGCTGCATGACCTCTCGCCCACCACTTATGCCAAAGGCCTGAGCAGCCCGGGCCTCGGCCACCTGGGACTGCAGCAGCCGGCTAGAGAGGGGCCCTCCGTCCAGGAAGTGCCAGGACCCCTGGCTGTGCACCCTGGCCCGCCGGAGCAGCCAGCACCCATCCTGCAGCCGCAGGTGAGTCCTCCAAGCAGTAGCCACCCCCCTGGTCACCAACACTCACTCTGTCCCGACAGCCCTTCTTCTCGACCTCCGCCTGCCCCCCAAGAGCCGGCTGGTGTGCAGTGCTGTAGCCTGGCCCACCCTGCCACACCTGGCCACCCGTGGCACCAACCACCGACGGTTCCAGGAAGCAAGTCTGCAGCCACTGGGCCGCTGTTGCTGCCTGAGGTGCTTGCGGCCGGTAGTGGTTTGGCCCCTATTCCTGTAACGGTCAAGTATGAACCCGAGGAGTTGGACCAGTTGTTCCTGGACGACGGTAAGTGCTGTGTGGCCATGCTTGTGAGTCGCGGAGCGCGGAGGGGTATGTGGCCAATGCCCGTATCTGGGTGCCTCAGCGGAAATGTGGGTTCCGACGCACTGTGCCCTGGCTCGTGGCTGCTGGGTGCCAACCTAAGAGCCCTGACCTCGAGGCAGGGCGGGGCCCCTCTCAGACGTGGCTCCCAACACCTGCCCTTGGCTTGCTGCAGTTTGGCATGTGGAGGCAGGGCCCAGGCGGAGCTCCCCCAGATGTGTGGAGCCTGGCCTTAGCCCAGTGGGATCCCCGGAGACAGGCTGGACCTGCGCTCCAGCATGTGGCAGCCTCGGCCTCCTGTCTCCCTCCACACCGACGAGGCCCCTCCAGTCTCTTCCCACTCCCCCTCTCGAGGCCGTCAGCTTTCTGAGGAGGCTCGTGCCAGTGTGTTTGCTCAGAAAGTAGTTCAGTCCTGACCCTGGACCCTGGTCTTGGGCAAGCTGCTGCTGATTTCCTGTCCCCCAGGCTGCTTCTTCCCTTGGAAACCCACACGAATCTGGCTGTTCACAGCGGCGTTCTGGAGGGTTTCTGTGACTTGGAGGTTAGGGTTAGGATAAGGATTAAGGTGCCAGTGGCCTGATTGTGTTGTGTGTGGGCTGCGTGCTGGGCCAGCCCTGGGCAGCACACATCCCGCCACCATCTGTCATGACTGCAGCCTGCTTGGCACAGACTGTCATCTGCCGAGATGGGGGCTCCGTCCGGTGTAGTCACTGCCCTGAGTGGACGCTCTGCCTGGTGTAGACACTGCCCTGAGTGGACTTGTGCCTCGGTGCACTCTGCTCTGGGGAAGCCACTGGCACATATGCCTCCAGCGGTGTTGTTTCGCTGTGGTCTTGCTGCAGCTGGTTTTAGGGGACACCACACATCTGTTCCCCCTCTATCCTGCCCATGCCTTGCAGAGGTGCCATCATGGCCAGCTTCTGGGCTCCTGCCATTTTGGGGAGCTTCTTCCAGCCCAGAGACAGGGAGGGGTCTCAGCCAGGTTCCTGGCTGCTGGTGAGGTCCCAGTTGGGCAGCAGAGGACAGGCACAAGTGTTGTGATGTGCTGTATTGTACATGTCCCAGTGGGAGTGTGGTGGGGACTTGAAGTGGGCTGGGACCTCCCATGGGGCTGGGCCTGGCCTATCCCACAGGTCAGAGCTGGGTACAGCAATCCCTGCTTATGTTTGGGATCTGAGAGCAGCACAGTGTGCCAGCACACAGCACCTGTTCCCCAAGAAAAGTGGCTGCTGAGTGGCTGTGTGGCTGAGGGTGTCCCCCAGATGTATGGGGTCTGCACAAAAGGCTGTCTGTGCTGCTGGCCGTGGGACCTGCAGCCTGAGCCTGTGGCCATCAGCCCTGCACAAGCTCCTCCCCCAGGCCGCTCCAGCCCTGCCCCAGCATCCCTCTCAGACACTCTCCCTCACTGTCCCGGTCCCCAGGTTCTGGTGATGCAGAGAAGCCCTGCCCCTTCTGGATCTGGCTGTGCCAGCACGGGAAGAGGCCCCTGGCAATCTGCCATTCAAAACAGGCATTCAGACAAGGGTGGCATGCACGGGGCCTGGGCCACAGCATGGCCTGGGCACACTGCTCAGAGGCCAGGTTTCAAGCCACCAGCTTCATTGTGAGGCTGTACCCTGCAGGTACCCACTCGTGTCCTGGCTGTCCTGCTTCTCATCCAGCTCCTTGCTGTTAGCCTAGGAAAGCAGTGGAGGACGGCCCATGTGCTTGGGCCCCTGTGCCTAGGTGGGAGACCCGGACGGAGCTCCAGGTTACTAGCTTTGGTGTGGCCCAGCCCTGCTGCTGTGATCTGGGGAGTGGACCAGCAGACGGAAGGCATGTGTGTGTGTGTGTCTCCTCTCTATCTCTGCTTTTCAAATAAATACTTTTAACAGAGGAAAAAAAGCATGCCGGGAACCACGAGTGAGACCACAGGAGCTCTGCCGCCTTCCTCAGCTGTCCCACGGGGTCTCACTCCCTGAGCTGTGCCTGCTTCCTAGGAGTGGGAGAAGGCTCTGGAGAAGCCCCATCCAGCTTGTGTGGCCCAGGCCCCGTGAGGCAGCTGCAAATGTCTGGCCCCCGCCACCCACCCAGCACAGCATCAGCAGCTGACTTGTCGCTGAGGTGGACCTGCGGCTGTGAATTTTGCCTGTGTGTAGTTTCATTTCACTTGACAAGGGAAGCAGGCATGGCTCAAGCAGTGAGCACCCTTGGGAGCCAGACGTGGGGTGGGTCCTAGGCTTGGAGCCCAGTCTGGGAACCCCAGAGAGCGAACCCAGGGAGCCGGGAACAGCAGAAACCACCAGCAAAGTCAGCGCTGCCCATTGCCAGTGGACTCCTATGGGAGAAAACGCAGTTTCCTGGCCAGCTTGCAGAGTGGGCACTCGGAGACAGCTGCGAAGGACTGCCATGCAGGCACCGACCTCGTGTGGGCATCGCTGGGGCTGCAGACCAGTGATTGGGGAGGCTACCTAGGTGCTGGGCAGGGGCACACCTGCCCAGGGCACAGCATAGGTCCCTGCCAGTGGGCCAGGTGTCTGCCCAGGGAGCAGCAAGGCTCCAGGGCCCCTGCAGGACAGCCTGAGGGGACTCAGAAAGTTCTTCAGAGCTTGTGCTTCTCTAGTTACATGAGTCTGCCCTGATGTGTGTATTGGGGGTTGGGTTTTGTTCCCAGGAATGCGGAGTGAAAGGGGCCATAATGGGTACCGTGCCAGGGAGGTTGGGGTGCCTGCCCTGCTGCCACACCCACTCAGGCTTGCCCCCCTGGAGGGAGGGAGCCTGCCAGCTCTGTCTGTCTCAAGGAGCAGCTAAAGCCACAGACAGTACCAGGCCAACCTTTGAGAAACTTGGTGCTTTTTCTCATTATACCCTCCAGTTTTGTCTCAGAGCTTGGTCTAGAAGCTGGCCCTTTGCCCAGTCATCGAGATACCCACACTCCAGCGTTCTGAGCTCCATTCTAGGCTCTCCCCACACCCAGGGAGGCAGGCAGCAGGTGGACACTGGGTCCCTAGGCCCCTGTTGCCCTGTGGGAGCCCTTGATGCAGTTCTGAGCTCCTGGCTTCAGTGTGGCCCATCCCAGGCACTTGGCAGCATGACCGCTGGTCCCTGGCTGTGGGGGTGAGCATGACGGCCCACACGGGCACTCACACGCCTGTCCCTGGCCCGTGTGCATGTGCTGCGGTGTGGACCGGCGCCTCCCATGCCCGGCAGCCAGCGCCACTGTGCCCTGACCGCCCCTCGCCTGCCACAATCAGCCCTTTCAGGCCCTCAAGCCTTTGATGTCATTAAAACAACAAGCAGGTAGGCGAGGTGGGCGGCGGCAGCACGGGCTGGCCCAGCACGCCTCTCCCTGCCCCCTCCTTTCCTGCATTCAGGCTGCTCTGGGAGAGAACAAAAAGGTTTCCTCATGGAAAGTTTTACTAAGCTGGCTGGGTGCCATGTTGGAGGCCTGCCCTGCCGACAGGAGGCTGTGTCTCACACAGCAGGCCCAAGTCCCATGTGAGGGACTGACTGACCAGTTTAGCCTACTGTGGGTCTCAGGGCTGATCCTGGGGCACCCCGACAGCATGGTGACAGTCCCGAGCAGGAAATTCCTGCATGTGCTGCCCAGGCCAGGCTGGCTGTCAGCAAGGTGGACCAGCAGACCGCAGCCCAGGCGTCTGGAGATTCCTGATGGCAGTGAGCCTCCCCAGCCAGGCTGGAAGCTGTGGCCTCCCCTTGCTGTTTCCCGGGCGAGGCCCCATGCAGCCGCCGTGGCATAGCCCAGCTCCTGTGTGCATAGCTGCCTTGTAGGTCCCACCCTGGGACCGCTCCAGCATCCCCAAGAGGGCATGGGTAGGAACACTGCATCCGGTCCCACCTAGATCTGTCACCCTGGCAGGCATGGCGGGCTGGACTTCAGCGGTGTCTGGAAGGTCCTTGCTGGGCTCAGCTCCAGGACAGCGGCCTCCGTGGAGACCTGGAGCACAGGTCTGAAAGCTGAGTAAGGCCCTGCAGCCATAGCACCCAGGAGCTCAGTCCTCCTGGGCCCAGGTTGGGCTCGGTGACTGTCAGGTTCCGGACTCCTGTCCCAGGTAGCTGGTGCTCACATTAGCTGGACATGGTTTGAGCTGTACCTGCTGAGGGCATGTCAGAGTTCATGGAAAATGAAATTAGATTTCTTTGCTGCAGAAAAGTTTCAAAATCCATGTAAATGAGGGGCCTTCAAAACTCATAAAAACTGTGTATGCAGAAAGAAATTCCGTGGATTTCCACTTTTTTGTGCCAAAATCAATGTATCCTAAAAAAAAAAGATTTATGCATCTCCATTTGAAAAGCAGAGCTACAGAGGAGGGAGAAACAGCGGAGAAGGTTCCATATCTTCCCTGTGCTGGTTCGCTCCCCAAATGGCTATGAGAGCGGGGGCTGGGGCAGGCTGAAGCCACGAGCCTGAACATCATCCAGAACCATGAGTGACAGGGACCGAGCGCTTGGGCTGGCTTCTGCTTTCCAAGCTGGGATGTGACCCGCCAGCTCGGGGGAGATAGACGCTGCAGGCAGTGACTTAACCCAAGCTTACCTTGTTGTTCTGGGTTGCTGTGTCCCTTAAATGCCCTCGTATATATATTTTAAAGGTTTATTCATTTTTGTTGGAAAGGCAGATTTACAGCTGGTTCACTCCCCAAATGGCTGCAATGGCCAGAGCTGAACTGACCTGAAGCCAGGAGCCTGGGGCTTCTTCCTGGTCTCCCACACAGGTGCAAAGTCCCGAGGCTTTGGATTGTCCTTCACTGCTTTCCCATGCCATATCAGGAAACTGGATGGGAAGTAGAGCAGCCAGGCCACAAACATATGGATGTCAGCGCTTGCAGGTGGATGGTTAGCCCATTGAGCCATCGTGCCAGCCCCTAACCCCACCCTGCAGTGCCAGTCCTTCCGCAGCCCCGCCTTCAGCTCTTACTGGTGTTTTGTCTCTCAGTCGGCTTGCCCGCTCCTTCTGGTTGGAAAAGTGTAACATTGGTCCTTGGAGACTAGCAACTGGGCAGGGCTGGGAAGGGCGGGGCTGCTTCCCCATCACAGTGTCCTGCAGAGGAGCTGCTGTGGAGGCCGACCGACAGGGGTGCCGTCAGGATGTGTCTGGGATGCTCGGGTGGCCATTTACCAGCAAGCGCCGGGTGGGGATGCAGTGTTGGCCTTCTCGCTTGTGCGCATACTGGTCCTGCTGTAAGGTTCTGTATCGGTGCTGCTGTTCTCTGTTCCCTGTCTCTTCTGCCCAAGTGGCCCCTGCTAGAGAGTGGGAGCTCTCCTCAGACACTTGGTGGGCGGGTCAGCACAGCCCAACCCAAGGACCTGAAGTCTGGTGACCTCTGAGAGTCCACTGGCAGCCACACACCTGCGTCTCCCTGACAAGGACTCTAGGTTTGTCAGCAGCAGCATCTGCAGGGGTGACCTTGGGTGTCAGGAGGGTGTGGATGGCAGTGCCCCAGCTGGTCCAGCCCCCGCCTGCCCCTGGGGATGGCTGCCTCATGCATACATCTTTCCCTGGGGCACTGGGCCTGCATCCCCAAAGGCAGCAGGACACAGCCCAGCCAGGAGGCTGTAGGAAGCTTTCCTAGGAAGTGGGGACCCCGGAAAGAGCAGGGAACCCAGTCCCCACCACAACCTGGGAACGCAGCCTGGGAAGGACTGCGGCCAAGCAGGGCTGAGGATGCCAGCGGGGCCATATCCCTGCTCCTCAGAGGCCGGAGCTGTGAGCCCAGCTCAGGACAGGGCCCGGAGACCCAGAGCAACGGAGCTGACCCAGAGACCCTGCACAAGCAAGCTGAAGGGCCGAGCTGCACAGCACCTGCCATGGAGGTGGGGGATGGAGGCTTCCCCCAACAGCTCGCCTACCGAGCCCTGCTAAGCTGGGCAAGCCCGGGAGGCTGGAAGTCTTTAGAAGGGGATGTTTACACCTGCAAGGGACACAAGAGCCATTGAAGCCAGGCAGGAAAGCTGTGCACTGAGCCGGAAATGGGAAACGGCAGCAGTAGCCCAGTTGTTACCAGGAGGGAATCTCATCGCAGAGTTGCAACAAGGCACCCTTGGCCTTGTCCCGTCAAACTGGGACACTGGCGATGAAGCATGAGGCACACACATCCCTTAACCGACATGCTGTCGGCTGCTAGAACCATGTTAAAGGAATCCATGCAGGCTGTCAATAGGGGGGTGGAATAGGGTTTCTTAAAGAGAGCCAAGCAGAAATTCTGGCATCAAAAATATGACTGAGGGCCTGGCACAATAGCATGGCCATGAAAGGCTTCGCCTTGAACTTGCCAGGATCCCATATGGGCATCTGTTCTAATCCCAGCAGCCTCACTTCCCATCCAGCTCTCTGCTTGTGGCCGAGGAAACCAGTCGAGGATGGCCCAAAGCCTTAGGACCCTATACAGCATGGGAGACCCAGAAGAAGCTCCTGGCTGCTGGCTTCAGATTGGCTCAGCTCCAGCCATTGCAGCCGTTTGGGAAGTGAATCATCAGACGGAAGATCTTCCTCTCTGTCTCTCCTCTTCTCTATATATCCGCCTTTCCAATTAAAAAAA